TAGAACTACCCGGCAATCGGGGCTACAGTGTGATATGGACCGTGATAGATCTCTTTTCCAAGCAGGCACATTTCATCCCCTGCAGAGGCCTGCCATCAGCGCGACGATTGTCTCGGTTGTTTATTCAACACATCTATCGGCTTCACGGTGTACCTAGGAGAATAGTGTCAGATAGAGGGGTGCAATTCACTGCGAAATTCTGGAGGGTGTTCGTTCGTTCGCTAGGGTCCTCACAGGCGTTGAGTTCAGCATATCACCCGAGCACCAACGGAGCGGCGTAAAGGGCAAACGCTATGGTGGAAAGGTACCTCCGAAGTTATGTGTCATTCCAGCAAACGGATTGGGTGGATTTATTGCCGTTTGCTGAAGTGGCATATAATAATACCGTCCACAGCAGTACGGGGTATACCCCGTTTAAAATAGTGTATGGTATGGAGTTTAACCCCATGCCCGAATTGTCACCAGAGGTGGCCAGCGGCCAGACCCCTCAAACATGGCAGTCCAAAATTTCAGGGTTGTGGGACCGGGTGCGGGTAGCCCGAAGGAAGGCCGAAGCTGCTGCCAAAGTCCAAGCCGACAAAAAACGGGCCGAGCATAAACCGTTCAAAGTGGGAGACTGGGTGTATTTAGCCACCAAATATCTACGTCTGCAGGTGCCATGTAAGAAGCTAGGCCCGAAATATGTAGGGCCTTTCCAGATCCTCAAAGTGGTTAACCCAGTTACAGTTCAGCTACGGCTACCCGCCTCTCTAGGCAAGGTTCACCCCGTGTTCCATAGTAGTCTACTCAAACCAACACATAGAAGTCCCTATGCTGACGGGGCACCAGGACCGATATCCGGGTCCCATTACGAGGTGCAGGAGGTCCTAGACTCACGGAAGCGATATGGTAAAACCCAATACCTCCTTCGGTGGAAGGGCTACCCGTTATCAGATGCGACCTGGGTGGGAGAGGGGGACATAAAGGCACCCAACCTGATTCGGACGTTCCATCGGAAGCACCCGGATAAGCTGGGGCGAAACAAGTGTAACGTTGTGTACTCAACCCCTTTCCTTTCCTCCCCAGGGGGACGCGTGGTAGAGGGGGCCGCATGTCAAGCCCCGACGGCTTGCCATAAGGACAGGGACAGGGGGAGCACGAACGTCAACTCACCGGGGCGAGAAACAGCTGAGCCGTGCACCGCCACGCCCCACCGCCGCACCGGGCGAACTCCCTCTGGGCGGACGTCTCCACGAGAAGCACGACAGACGCCAACGCCACCTGATGGAACAGCGGGAGCTCCTAAGAGCCACTTGCGGGCTAATGGGAATGTACCTCGGCGGGAGAGCGGGGGGTTGTCTCTTAGCCACCAGGGAATCCGGCAGGGCGAGATTGGCAGCGGGCAACAGGGGCGCAGGTCGGACGCACGGACAGCGGGGCGTGGGGGCGGAGCTTCGTCGGGCAAAGGGACAGCACAGGGAACGGCCGTAGCATTTATCCATCTCAAACGGATGCTGGTGTGGGATGGGGGGCGGAGCTGCAGGGTGGAGCACGCCGATATATTGCGGTGGAGGGAAATCAGCCCCAGTGCTGACTTTGTCTCACATGCTTAATAAAGAGCTTGGTGGATGTCAGCGTGTGCCGGTCTTCTTTGCCTTGCGCTGCGGACGACTTTGGATACGTTGGACAGCAGGGACACGATAGGGGGCCCCTGAGATGCAGAGAGAATTAAACACTGGATAAGAACAGGCGCACTAATGGGGACGCCTGGAATCCAGGTAAGTCAGCAGCGTGGATAAAAACAGGCACACGATAGGGGTCGCCTGGAACCCAGCTATACTGTGCACGGATAAGAACAGATGTACGATGGGGGATGCCTGGAATCCAGAAAGGGCTGTTATGGGTAAGCACAGGTGCACGATGGGGTACGCCTGGAATCCAGATAACTCTGTGAATGATTTGGAGACTTCCAATCCTATGAGTCAGTGTCAGCAGAGCAGTCAGGAGACACCAAGCTTGAATAACCCCTAAAGGGCGGTGAACAACTAGGCCAACAGTTTACCAGATGTAATTATTATTATTATTATGGATCATCGCACAGTCAGCCAGATGTTCAGACTGGATTTGGCATTTTGTCTACCTATCGAGTCCTTACCCAGGACCTGGGATAGGCAGATGTGGATGTTTGATGGTATTACAGGTATCATCGCAGGATGGAAGCAGTTCCTATAAGGCCGCCTTTTGCAATTGACTAATAGCAAATTTGTCAATGCCAATGGTGTTCAAGTGGTGCTCCAGTTGTTTTGGGATTGCACCCAAGGAGCCTATTACTATTGGTACTACCCTTGCTTGCTTTTGCCACAGTCTTTCTATTTCTATTTGTAGGTCTTTGTATTTTGTTATCTTCTCCAGTTCTTTCTCGTCTATTCTGCTGTCTCCAGGCACTGCCACGTCCACTATCCAGACTTTTTTGTCTTTCTTATCGACAATTGTTAAGTCTGGGGTGTTATGTTGCAGGTGCTTGTCTGTTTGAATTCTGAAGTCCCAGAGCAGTTTAATTTTATCATTTTCTATGACTTTCTCTATATTATTATTATTATTATCGATCATCGCACAGTCAGCCAGATGTTCAGACTGGATTTGGCATTTTGTCTACCTATCGAGTCCTTACCCAGGACCTGGGATAGGCAGATGTGGATGTTTGATGGTATTACAGATATCGTCGCAGGATGGAAGCAGTTCCTAGTAAGGCCGCCTTTTGCAATTGACTAATAGCAAATTTGTTAATGCCAATGGTGTTCAAGTGGTGCTCCAGTTGTTTTGGGATTGCACCCAAGGAGCCTATTACTATTGGTACTACCCTTGCTTGCTTTTGCCACAGTCTTTCTATTTCTATTTGTAGGTCTTTGTATTTTGTTATCTTCTCCAGTTCTTTCTCTTCTATTCTGCTATCTCTAAGCACTGCCACATCCACTATCCAGACTGTGGCAGTGCCTAGAGATAGCAGAATAGAAGAGAAAGCTATCTCTAGGCACTGCCACAGTCTGGATAGGATTATTATTATTATTATTATTTATTTTTGAATTTATTTATTTATTTGTTTATCTATTTAACAACAAAAAAATCCCTGTGTAACTCCGAGTGGGTCTCAATAAAGAGCACGTGGGAAATTATCCTGTTGAAGAGAAAGGAGCCCCTTCCTCCAATTTAATAACTAGGATCCCCCGAACTTCGGGACCACATGGTCCAAGATGGCCACTGCACGTGAAAAAACGGCCGCCTGCCTCGTTTTGGGAGACTTTGTGGGAGGAGAATTGCTTGGTGCGAGAGCTCTCCTGCCCTGTGATCAACGTCTCCCAAAACACAGGAAATTCATCAAAATTGAGTTGGCTGCCTCCCTCCTATGCCGCCTACCAGCTGATTGGCGGCAGCGGCTGGGCGCGCATATGTGCTTGCGGCCCGAGAGGAGCAGAACGAAGAGAACAAGCCACCGAGACAAAGAAGGGAATTCCGGCTTGAATAAGCTTCAGAGCTGCAGCTGCAGCTCCCAAATTAGCAAGTGAATAGTAAATAGCCTCGAGTAAAAGGGAAAGGAAATCCCCCCCACCTACTGTTCCCAAGGGAGACCGATCTGAGACCAGTTTAGAAATAGCTCCCAAAATAGCAAGGTTCTCTACAAGAATTGCATGCGTTGAGTAAATCCCCCCCCACCTACTGTGCAATAAATCACCAGAGCTGCAGCCGCACTCTCAAATCCCAAGGGAGACCGATCTGAGACCAGTTTAGAAATTAACCTCCGCGAATGCACTGGAGCCTTCTTAATTCAGGGGCCCTTGGGTAAGAATTATTTTTCAGTTTGGGAGGAGGAAGGAAAAGAAAATGGAGTTCCCTCCTGGGAATTCAGTTTCTGTTTCCCCCCCCCCTACTCCTGAAATTTTGGGAATTAGGGTGTTCCTGAATAGATTACCTAATAATAGGAATTAATTCTATACTAAGTACAGCCTAACTCAGCAACTGTGAGAAATTCCACCAATGGAGACTGTACCTGCCTAAGAGCCAAATCTGCATGTCTGTCCAATGGGCGAGATCAAGTCAAGAATGGGATCTCTATGGTCCAGGACAGGCGTGGCAACTTTGGCTGACTTGATCTGATTGGGCAGGAATACAGTCTAAACCCATTGGTGGATTCTCCATCTCTAGTGCTGGAGAATGGAAAGAACTGCAGAGGTCTTAAACATGTATTAGATAAAAATAATATCTTTACTTAGAGATGAGATATGTAAGTGAAAAATGGCTATTCATGCCCTTACTTCATACAGTCTTTGCCTACTTTAAAATAAAAGATGATTTTATTAACAAAAGAAACAACATCTGTATCTGATATCCTTAAAGAAAGGGCTCAAAAGTTGGTATAGGTAAGACAGAAGCAGACAACCTAGAGTTTTTCATTTTTTCTGGATCTGAATAGCAATCAACAATCGGGATCAAACTGAATTTCCTGAAATTACCACTTACTCTATTCGTAAATTCAAAAAGGTTTACTCCTTAGAACAGTGGTTCTCAACCTTTCTAATGCCGTGACCCCATAATACAGTTCCCCATGTTGTGGTGACCCCCAAGTGGGCGTGGCCACCAATAAGAGGGAGTAGGACAGCTAGGGAAAAGGGAAAAAAATGGTGGACAGCATGGTTTGGTGACCCCTGTGAAATGGTCGTTCGACCCCAAATGGGGTCCCCACCCACAGGTTGAGAACCACTGCCTTAGAAGTTCACGAATATATGCATGTAGGGTTTTAGCAACAGTATGGACATGGTTTGGTTTGGTTTTAAGTTCCTGCTATAACATGGTACAGCCCCAGAAGCCTCCCATCCAAGCACTAATCAGACCAGACCCTCCTTATAAATTGAGATTATAGAACTTTAAAATAATAAGAATCAATAAGATGATCTAAAACATTTGTCTATCACAACAGTTCATTTTCAGGAATGTAGCTCTTTTACTGCACCCTGAGTAATGCCTACCTGTGAAAGCTCAGCAGGATTAGGGTAAATAGCACTAAAGGGCCTCTCCCTTGGAGATAGGCAAGAGTTTTCTCTGGAATGTTTAAGCTTATCTGATAACAGAGGTGAGCCTGAAATACAAGACAAACTTAGAGAATCAAAACAATTCTTCAGTCTGCAATATGATGGATTATTTGGGTGGGAGACACATATTGGATAAAGAATTTATAGAGTCCTATATCCCATATAGAATTTCCATATAATGTGATTCAGACCTAGTAGTATAGTTTTGATCCAGAAAGATTCCATAAGGATCTTTGTGTAATAAAACACTAACCTCTGGCACTGGATGGAGCAGAGCTGGTCACATTAGGTGAAGCAGAATGAGTAGAACTCAGACTTGAGGTAGATGGGCTTGGCTGGAAATACATAAAAGCCACAAACTCTCAGTATCATGCAACATGATGAAAAAATCAGCAGCAACATGTACTGACTAATGATATGGTACATTATGACAGCAGCTCAATACAAAAACTTTTAGGCTCATGGAAAATGTAATATTTGAAGCAACAATATGGTTGGGTGATACATAAATGTTTGAGAATACAACCTGATGCTTGTCTATTGCCTATAAGAAAAATGGCACAGAGGAACATGTTTATATGATTGCAACCTAAATTCAATTCAGATTATTCCATAACAACCAGGTCAGATTTTGTCTAATTTATTTTCTTTAGTGACCATTGATTGATTGTGCTAACATTTATAAAATAACTGTAGATCTTATAAAATAACAATATATTTTCCTCTTGTTCTAAGATTCTTTAGCAATGTTCCTCCTTTGTAACTCTATCAGAAGAGAATTTTATCTGCTATTTTCAATTATATTCTATTCCTAGCTATTAAAAATATAGGGTAAAAAATGCCCCATTCTTTTATTTTGGGGGAATTGTAAGACAGAAGTACTCTTGAGAAAGCGCTCAAGAGAAACTAAAGGTACATTAATATTAATTCCAAAAATAAAAACAATATTTTAGAGTACTTGCAGATACTTGAATTTTGTTTCTTTCAAGAATAATTTTTGTCCATTAGAGCAGGGGTTCCCAACTCCCAGTCCGTGACCCACTACCGGGCTGTGACCTGTTCGCAATCAAGCCACGGGCCAGCACACACATGCATGCACAGCTCGACTCGTGCGAATAGCGGGCTGGCACACACATGAATGCACGTGCAGTTCCACTTGCAGTCGAGCTGCATGTGCATGCACATGCGCGGCAACCCGATGCTTATGCGAGTCAAGCTGTACACACAGCATGCGCACCAGCACACCACTCACACAGCATGGTACCCCTCTCCCCCTACAGTTGGGCTGCCAATCCACAAAGATTGGGGACCACTGCATTAGAGAAGTACATGTGAATCTCACAAAACACAGACTACAATAGGAAAATTATTTTTTAATGTAATCCTATAATGAGGAATCCCAGGGTTAATATATTAAAACTTTGCACTTTTTTTTGTTTGACTGATAATCTTATATATGATATATATGCTTACCTGGACTTGGTTTTTCTACTTGATACATCACTGAAAAATCCCGGCACCTTACTCATTTTTAAATTGTTTCAAAAGATGCATATTTATACATAAATAGGAATTTAAGCCTGCCAACTCAGGGCAAAATTCTACACTAAATCTCCAGAGATTCTTGTCTTACATATCAACAAAATCTAAATGCCACATGGAAATTGTTCTATTGTTACAACTCTTAGCAGTATAAAAATAAATAAGGCTTAACCGTTTTCTTCCACCTTCATGGACATTTACCCATATCAAGAAGTAATCATCTAATAATTACAGTATTACAGAAACATATCACTTGTTCATACAAGACTATGACTACATGTCAGGTTTCATACAATCAAAAGAAAACTGTATTTAAACTGGCATTAATAATATTATGTCATTGTATTTTAAAGTTTTAAAATACTTAATACTCCAGGGAGAGTTAGAACCAAATCTCTCACCCATATCTGTGGAAAGAGTTTTGTGAGGTGTCCTTGGTGCTCTGAGCTTGCTTGTTTTCTTGCAGATGTTCCCATTACCCTAACTAGGTAATATCATCAGTGCTAGTAAGGAGTGCTGTTTGCTGTCGGTTTATATTCCGGTGTCTTGCCTGTCTGTTGGGGTGGGGGCGGTCTTAGGGATTCTTTGATTGGGCTGTTTACTAATGGCTCTTTGGCAGTTTTTTGCTTACTTAATTGCTGGTCTGAAGTTGACCATGGAGTTAATCTATGCTGATCTGAATGCTGATTACTGGTGGAGAGGTTCTGGAGACTTTTTCTCTTTTGGGCTAGTTGATTGTCTTTTTTGCATAGTCTATAGATGTTGTTAATGTCTATGTGTCTATTGATGGCTGATTTGTCAGAGTGCCAGGCTTCTAGAAATTCCCTGGCATTTTTGCATTTGACCTGGTCTAGGATTGTCATACTTTCCCAATTGAAACAATGGTTAAATCTGTCTATATCTTGTGAAATTAAAGAATTTTCATCACACCTGGTACTCTGACAGCCATCAATAGACACATAGACATTAATAACAATCAGATCAACAATCAAGACCAGCCCCACCCACACAGCAGGCAAGACACCAGTATATAAACTGACAGCAAACAGCACTCCTTATTAGCACTGATGATGTTACCTAGTTAGGATAATAAAACATCTGCAAGAAAACAAGGTCAGAAAGGATCAAGGATCCCTCATTTCAACCCTGAGCTACAAATATTATCCTGTGTTGGTACCACAAACAGTTTTGTTCTATTTTTTTAGTGGCAATCCTATGTAGTAGAGTTTTTGCCCTTTTTTTAAACTAATATTTTTGTTTGTTAGAGTTTTTGAAATTTTTGGTGGCAGAGTTGCTGAATGTCACATATCAGTTTATGAGCTGCAATGGCACAATGGTTAGAATGCAGTATTGCAGGCTAATACAGCTCACTGCCAGGAGTTCAGTCCTCACTGGCTCAAGATTGACTCTGACTTCTATCCTTCCGAGGTCAGTAAAATGAGGACTCAGATTGTTTGTTGACTCTGTAACCATTTAGAGAGTGCTGTAAAGCACTATGAAGCAGTATATAATCTAAATGAGGGTGAAGGATCCAAGAATACTGGCTGGCAGTCAAATGCCACAATCCCAAATCCTTAATCTCTACTCACACCAACACCAAACAACACCAGATCAATTGGAGCAACACAAAAATCATTGGCCGTGCTACCACCTGCCATGCTCTTGAGTTCATCGAAGCCTGGCACTCCACAAGCAATTTCATCAACAGACACATTGACCTACAACCAACCTATGAACCTCTCAGAATCCAAATCAACTGCACAGCCAACCAGAGACAGCTCAACCATCTCACACAAGCCCTCCCCAACCAGCACTTCACCTCCCAATGACTCTCACCCGATATAACTTACTCATCACAAGACCCAACACAAGACTCCCACTGATGACTCACATCTGATCCATCACAATACCCATTACAAGACCCTCACTTGACATACCCACACCTGACCCCTCACAAGACCCATCAGAAGACCTTCACTTGACACACGTATACCTAACCCATCAAGACCCATGATGACACGAAGTCCTTATAAACAGAAGAACACTGACACTGACACCCGCTAAACTCTGCTGAAGATGTTATCTAGCCTGGTAATTAAAATTCGGAAAACACCTCCCAAGTTCAGAGAATGAACTGTCACCCTCATCCTACACCCGAACTACAGATATTTGCCAGTATATAAGTCTAAGTGCTGTTGCTATTGCTATTAGTTATCACTGCTTCCTTTGTGGATATTTAAGAATAAGTAGTACAGCAATTGCCCACATGCCTACATGTTAAAAGTCATGTTATTTAATAAAGCAACCATACACCAGACATGCTTACATACATGATCCAAAGATACATATTATATCTTTGGGTCTTTACCATAAAAAAGAAACCACTTTCCTCTGGAGATGAATGAAAGAGTTAACTTTCCCCCCCTGATATATTCATTAATTAGCTTTTGGTTACTAGAACTATGTTTTAAAGATGCATTGTTTTAAACATAATGCTATTACATAATGACTTACATGTCAATTTCTGTTTACACTGTTTACATTGTTTCAACTATCAGTATTAAATCCAAATCCTCACAGTTCCTTTTGGATTTGCTGCTTTCTCACACAACTTCCCATCCTATAAAAAGCCTTAGAAGATGTACATATACCCATCTCAGATGAGGTATCATCTGGTACCTGCATGTTGAAAACTTCATCCGAGCTTTCGGATTGTCCAGTTATATTGCTGACCTCTGCAGATGCTTGAGAGGACAATGATGAAGAAGAGTATCTGTTGATAGCTGGGTAACTTAATGGACTATTGCAAACAAAGAACAGAACAAATTTCATTAATCCTGACTCTAATTCCAGTTTATCATGTCCTACTTTTAATAGTTTAATTCCACAGGATCCATGTATAAAAGATACATCCACATATAGTGCTCAACTTACAACAGTTCATTTAATGACCATTTGAATTTAGAACAGCACTGAAAGAAGTGACTTATGACCATTTTTCACATTAACGACTATTGCAGCATCTCCATGGTCATATGATAAACATTCAGACATTTGGCAACTGACTCATATTTATGACAACTGGGCCATGTGATCACACTTTGCAACCTTCTGACAAGCAAAGTCAATAGGGACACCAGATTCACTTAACAATTGTGTTATTAACTTAACAGCTGGAGTTTAACAACTGTGGCAAGATAGGACATAAAATGGGGCAAAATTCACTTAACAACTGTCTCACTTAGCAACAGAAATTTTGAGTTCAATAGTGGTTGTAAATCAAGGACTACCTCTATTGATATTTTTAAACTGATTGTGAAAGATTATGTATGAATGGGTAGTATTAATTCATTTCAGAATGTTTTCTGACATATCAAAACAAGAGAATAGTCTATTTCCAAATTCTGCAATACAACTATGTTGGAATATTCATGAGCAGGAAGAGTCATGTGGTAACTCAGTCAGCCAATGTGAAAAAAGTGCTACTGAGTCTGTGCAAAAAAGTTATTGAGTTAGGAGCTGGATTTTTTTATTCAGTCTCAGGTCTGTCTCTGTATCTCTCTGTAAGAAGTCTTCATTGTGCTATGTTGCTGTAAAGAAGAATGTATGGTATTGTAAATATTTTGATATGAATATAAAGTGGTTATTTGAATCAGCTAAATGCAGTCAACTTTGAGAACTTCTGATTTATTTTTACCAGCAGAGAAATAAAAATTGTCTAACAGGTTATGGGCCCAGAGCTTACTAAGGACTGCATTGTAATTTAAAGCTGGAAGAAATTGCCTGTGTTTAGAAAATATAAGAACAAGGCAGAATTAGCAGAATAGCTGCAATGGAATTTAAGGAAAGCTCTGTGCCTTGTTTGGGTCAGAAGAATTACATTGTGTGGGCTGCAAAAATGGAATGTTCGCTGAAAGCTAAAGAGCTGTGGTATATCGTAGAAAATCCACCACAAGTGTTTGCAGCTGCTGATCAGAAAAGTCATGATCGAGCAATGGCTTATCTCATCTTGAATTTAGAGGATGAACAATTTCTAAATGTTGCAAATTTAAAGACTGCAAAGATTTGGTTGAAGTTGAGAGCTGTACACGTGAATGTTTCTGCATGCAATATAGTGCAATTGTCAAGAAAACTTTACAGGGCCTATTTGCAACCAGGCGAATCTGTGGAACAGCATTTAAATAAAATGCAAAGTTTATTTTTGGACTTAGAACAACATGGGATTAAATTCCCTGAGTCCCAGAAGGTTTTATTGGTGTTGAACAGTTTAGATAAAACCTGGGACACAGTTTCTGCAATATTTGAGTGTAAAGAAGAGCAAGACTTAAATTTTGAGGCTTTAAAGGCATGTTTGCTTAATGAAGAAGAAAAGCGCCATTTTAGGAACAGCCACGAGGAGGTGAAATTCCTGAGGAGGGGGTCCAGACTGCAAGTCTCCAGAGAAGGAACAAGCAGCAGATGGGACCAAGTTGCAACAAAGGAAAGATTGTGCACGCAGAGTGCTCAGCAAAAGAAAACTTTCTACGTTTGTGGTGCAAGCATACATCTGAAAAGGAACTGTTTGCAGAGAAACAATTTGCAGCGAAGGACATTTTTGCAAGCAAAGAAGACTGATTTGCAAAAGGAACATTTTGGTGTTGCAAAAGTTTGCTATAGCAACAACAGAGACAAGTGGTTAATAAATAGTGGGGCAAGTCAAACAATTGTTAATGACTCTGAATTATTTTGCAGGTTTGTTCCAGTAGCACAAGAAGCTGTGGCTTTGGCTTCCGGTACGGGGCGGCGGCGATGGCGGCTATTTTCTAGCCGTCCAGCTGGGAAGGTGTCAGAGCCGCGGAGCATAGCGTGCATCAGCTGGCCCGCGGCTCGGAATCACCTTCCCAGGCAAAGGGAAGGGGTAGAGAACGCAGGAGTAGAGGTAGAACCCCTGAACCCCCTCTGGATTTTTTCCTAGAGGGGGTGGAAGGAGTGTTCCCTCGGAGCTCCTGCTGATCTCCGCCTCCCAGCTGTTTTTGCTTCTTCGGAAGCAAAAGAAACTGCCGCTTCTATCTCCGCGGTTACAGAGTTTCGGTGAGTAACTTTAGAAGCGGACAGAGCGGTTTAAAGGATTTTCTTTTATATAGTTTAGTGTTTTATTTTCTTTTTCTAGTTAGTTTTGGTTATTTCTCCTTTGTTCTTTTTTGCTGGCACGGAGAGAGAAAATAAGATGGCGTTTTGAAAGCGCTCAGCTTTTTTTTTTTTTGTCTCTTTGTTCTTATTTTTCTTGGAAAGTATTGGATCTAAATGATTGCTTTTGATTTTTTTGTTTTTGGCTTTGGATTTCTCTTTTGATTTCTTCTTTTTTTTGGAACTTGGAACTTTAAGGATTACAGCACTTTTGTTTTTTTTAACTTCTATTTCTCCCCTCCCTTTCTTTTTGGGGAGAAGGGAAGAGAGAACTGCGTTTTAAAAAATGGCTTCAAAGAGACAACCGCCTTCTATACTACCTAAGGTGGTTTCCTCTCCCACAACCTTAACTGTACAACAACAACAACAACAACTTAAACATGTACCACCGACTCAGCCACCACCCTCTCCTCCTCCACCAGGCCTGTCTGCACAAGAGATTAAAAACATAATGGGAGATGCTGTATCCCAAATCAGAGATGAAATGAAGCAGCTTGCTGTACAGATTAAATCTGAAATCAAAGAGGAATTAAACGAAATGAAGGATTTATTAGAAGATAATAATACCATCTTGCGGCAAGATATAGTTACAGCTGTATCAGGTTTGGCTTCGGTGGTGGTGAAGCTGGACTCGAGAGTGGAGGAAGTTGCTGATAAAGTTGATTTTTTTGAGGATAAATTTCAAGATATGGAAAGCAAGATGGAGATCTCACAAGCAGATATCCTTATGTCTCAGTATAGGGAGATGGAGCACGCCCTGAGGATCAGGGGTCTCAAGGAAGATATGAATCAAGATCTGATGGAGATGGTGCTTAGTGATCTAGCTGTTGCTCTGAATATGGATAAAGGAGAATTACGCAGAGAAATGGAAAAAATTTATAGAGTTAACTCTTGGATTGCGAAGCAAAAGAATTTGCCTAGAGATGTTGTGATCTATTTCACAAAGAAGTCTCTGCGCAATGAAATTATACAAGCTTTTTATAACAAGAGATTCCAGATTGCTGGCCAAGATGTTATCATTTTAAAGGAAATCCCATCAAAAATTTTAAGAAACAGGAAAGATTTTGCTTTCTTAGCTAATGAACTTAAAGCAAGATTGATGCCATTCAGATGGGAGATCCCGATGGGCATCGCTTTGAGCCATGCGGGGATGCGTTACAGGTTGAATACGGTTGTTAAAGCTAAAGAGTTTTATAATACGGTCCTGGGTGCAGGCTCAGCTTTATCTGTTCAGAAACCCTTGAGTGGTAAAGAGATGGAACAGCAATCTGAAGCATTAGGTCTGATCTCTGCTGGGAAGTGGCAAGCTGAAGGGCAACGTCAAACAGAGGTTAAAGAGCAGAGGATGACCCGTGCAGCACATAGACGCAAGGAAAAGGAGCAACAAAAGAAAGAGATTAAAGAATCTTCTTCGGATAGTGTTTCATTGCCGGTGGGAGGAGCAAGACCCAAGAGTTCTGCAACACATACAGCAATGGCAGACCTCCAGGTAGTCTTCTCCAGGCTTCTGGCCAAGGGAGATGGCAAAGTTCCTGACCAGGAATGTTAACGGTCTAAATTCCCCTCAGAAAAGAAAGAAAATCTTTTATTACTTAAAGCAACACAATAATGATATTATTTGCCTACAGGAAACTCATATTCTATTGAAAGATCAAAAATATTTAGTTAACGCCCGTCTGGGATCTCATTTTGTATCTTCTGCTCCTGCGAAAAAGGGGGGAGTGGTTATTTATGTGAAGCAAAATTTACCAGTTTGTCTGGTAGAATCAGATCCCCAAGGAAGATACGTGATGATTGAACTTGGTTTATATGGTAAGAAAATACTTATAGTGGGACTTTATGCACCAAATCAGCAACAGGAACAATTTTATAGATTGTTACATCAAAAAATAACTTTGCTGGACTACAGATCCGTGGTACTAATGGGTGATTGGAATGGTGTCTTAGATATACAAAGGGACAAGAAAGGTTCTTCTCCTCTTTTTAAACAGGCAAAACTACCTAAAGCCTTTTTTGACATGAAAGAGGATTGGGAATTAAGGGATTATTGGCGGGAATGTAATCAAGAGGAGAGAGACTTTACCTTCTTTTCAGATAGACATCAATCCTTTTCAAGAATTGACTTTTTTTTATCACAACAGATTTATATAATAGAGTAAAGAATGTTAAGATTTTTCCTAGGTCACTGACGGATCATAGTCCAGTCTGGATGGAGCTGATTCAAGAAAAAGAGGAGAGAAGATCTTGGAGGGTGAATGAGAACTTATTCAGACAAGAAAAGAATGTTCAAAAGTTAAAGGAGTGTTTAAAGGATTATTTTGCTTTAAATATGTATAAGGGGACTTCAATGTCAATGGTATGGGATGCAGGTAAAGCATTTATGCGTGGGATCCTGATAAAAATGAATAACTTTCATAGGCAAAAGCAGACTCAGAAACGTAAAGAATTGGAAGATGAAATTAAATTAAAAGAAAAGTCTTTGATTTTAAATCCCTCAGATGAAAGGATTAAAGAATCTATAAAGTTGTTAAGATCACAATTTAATATGTTGATGGCGGATCAATCCGCAACTAATTTAATATTTATGAAACAAAATACATTTTGTAATGCTAATAAACCAGGGAGATGGTTGGC